ATAACTTTATGAAGAACGAAAAGATAAAATAAACGTTTATTTTATCTTTTCGTTCTTCATAAAGTTATTTACCTGTTTTTTATTAAATGTTTATGTACGTTTGCTAGTATTTTTATCATTGCCTGATGATGTGAATAATTATTCAAGAAAAATCTAAAAAAAAAATGCTCTTATCAACGCATATTATTCTCTTATTTTGTAACATCAAGAATATTCAGAATTCTTTATTATAATACCAGAGGAACATGGTAGTTTTGTGCCACGATATTGCTGTATAGGTTGCGTAAATCAGGTTTTTTTTCATACTATCGTCCTTTCTATACAAATTTTCTCGTTCATGACGTTAAGTTCGTACTCTATTGAAAAAAGTACATTAAGGTAGCGTTACAAACGGAGGTCAGACAAAAGTATTTGTACTTGTACTTTTCGCACTTTTTCCAGCAAAAGCACAAATACTGATCAAATAAATATACCTGGTCACCATACTGGATGAGTCATAAGGATAGCAATATTTAGTATTTTTCAGATAACTCAATACAGATAAGTTGCACCATCTTGGCTTTTTTTAGAAGATCCACTGTGAAATTTTGCACACGAAAAATCATGAGCAATCCTACTGAATTAGTTTGGCCATTTTTTTACTAAGACTAAAAATAAAGGAATGTCTAATGGTGAAATGTTATATCGTCCTGAGAGAATTAAAAATAAAACTAATACTAAAAACTAGTCGCTTTTCTTATTTCAAGCAAAACTTTGCGTAATATTATCATTAGGAAAGGAAAGTTGTCGTTACCAAGTAACGGAAATTTTCTGATTTTTTCTCAAAAGAAAAGCTATTCGTCGAGCAGATTTGATTGGAGTTAACACTTCAAAACTCAAAAGTAAGAGTCATTTATAACTTGATTATAATTTGTATTTTTGAAGTGACTAAAGGTTCAAATTAGAAAATTTCATTGAAAGCATGAGCAATACAATCCGGGTTTCGGCAACCGAAAGTCTCTAGATTCAGCAAACTCTATTTGTCAATAACTTCTACTGCATATTTCTCTCACTCATATACTATGATGGATTGAATTTCTATCAAAAATTTGCAATATCTTTAGTAATCTTGAGAAAATGAATTTATTATAACATATTCTATGACATTATGATATAGAAACATCTTTTTCTCATAAAATGACCATTTTTAGATACAGTAGAGTAATATTATGTTTTTTTTTGTGCTATAAAATTAATCATTGTGGTTAAATAATTTTTATTTTCTAGTTATGTGGGTTGCATTAGCAGTAGATAGTTTTATTTTCTTATGTCGGATGTTTGAACAAGATGATGGAACAAATCAAACATCTTTATTAATTGATGCTGCATTTGGTCTTATCTATTTTGTTGCTTTTGTTATTTTACTTGTATCATGGATAAAATGTTCAAATACAAATACATTATTTTGTAATGGTAAATATAAATGTATTGTTCATATTCTACCTACTTTTGGTGCTCTTGCTTTAACAATATTGTATATATATCATGATGTTCAACGTTCGATTCAAAAATTAAATTCCATTTAAAATCAACGATTGACACATAAACAAAATATATTATATTTTTGTTATTTTAGTGTTTTTTTTTCCTTAAACGAATTACTGACAAAAAAATGTTTGCATAAGAAAATATGAGAATTTCAAATATTTCGTTCAAAACTAAATAATGAAATTTTCATGAATTCATCATATTGGCTTCAAATCATTTATTGATACATTATATCTAAAACAAGTCTCAAACCACTATTACAAATCTTAATAAGTCTAATAACATCGAGCAGTACATACTTTTATATGTTGATCATGTGACGACTTGTGGTAAATCAATACAACTCTATCCATTGTCTTTGACTTTTTCAATATAAAATTTTATCTTCAGTACTCAGAATATTCATGAAAATATTTCGGTGATCCGAGTTTTGAGGAAGGACCTGAGAAATTTTTAGCGTCTCAGCAGTAATAATGTTCAGGTCGGCTATTGTTGCGAACACCCATATCCACACCCAGCTCGAGTCTCGAAGTCATTATACAAAATAAACTAATTTTGAATCAGAATGTAAACTACGCAACACTACAATCAACTAACCATAGAAAAGTATCATAGATATTATGTCTTATATTGAAAATATATTACAGCAAACTGATGAAATTGTATATCAATTTGAAATCAAAGATCGTTCACAAGTTGATATAACATGCTTTAAAAATTGGCTGAACGCTTAAATTAAATGAATATCAGCTGTTAAAGCTAATCTAAAATGTGTTACAATAGTTTCTGACATTGTAATAATTGTTGCACAACCAATTACTTTTTCATGTGAATGCATTGGTTTCTCGAAACCAACAATAATACTCGTTATTTTATTGAATTGGAAATAAAATCATTGGTAAAATATAAAATTCAATCGAAATATCGCTTAAAGAATTTATCTGCAAATAAAACAGACTTAATTGATATTAGTAAATATCATACAGTTATTACTAATGATGAATGAACCAGCATGAATACAATATAACTATTCTGGTTTATAACCATTTAATGTAACTTGGTTAAGGAATGGTGAACCTTAGATTTTACCTTGTCAGTACAAACTCAAATGAGAGTAAGTCTTCAGTTGTTTTGAGCCTTATTATCTGGAACAAATAGTTCACTAGCTGTTAAACGCAGTTAGTAGGATTGTTTTTAAAAAGAATGTATATCAAACGTTGAAAATTTAAGAGAAGAAATTTAATCATTGATAGACTCATGTACCATTCGATTCCAATAAATATTTATTTACCGATCGATGGTACTTTTAAGATACTCTAAAAATATTAATCTGTGCAGTATTGTCGAGTGATTCATTAACTCATGGTTAGGAAAAATAGAGCTTCGATCATAATTGAATTCTGCATCGAAAACTGAATTAATTCTGGTATATTTCAACTATTTTTATGATCGTTGTTTTAATTTTAAACATTCATGTCTAATTTCTGTCAGATCTTCACTAAAATAAATTTCACTGCCGCACTATTTATATTGGGTATAATAGGATTTTACAAGGTTTGAAGCAGGTTTTCATTGTTCATATGAAAAAATGTTTTAACTAAATATAAATGATTTGTTGAATTCTTTTTGTTAATCTGAAAGATGATGTTAGTTTTAATTGAAATTCTAATTTCTTTAATCAAAACTTATACAATTCCTCGTCAATAAATCATAAAAGTATTTCTCTAGAATACTATACTTAGAATTTCCTAGATAGAATGTTTCTTTGTTTTTTTTATTTAATCAAAACAGAAACTAAAACATCTTATACTTCAAATTATATTATTAATGAAGAACTAGATTTTGATCTAAATGCACTTGTTCAAAGGTTTTTCATTTAGATTTTCTTTATTATTAATTATACATTTTATTGATCTATAGACTAAGTAAATCATCTAGTTCGTTTCAATTAATTTTTAATCGTCAATCACGATGATCATTGGAATGTTGCAATGTCTGCCGAAGAATTAGGTATTAGAATTCGTTTTTTTAGAACATTGTAAACAATATTAGAATGAATTTGAAGTTGTTCGATTGCGTGAAAAAGAAATTAAAACTAAATTACATTCTTTAGAACAAGAAGAAGCGACAGGGTCGGAATTAGAAGAAAAAGAAAGTGGAAAGTAAGTTAAAAATCTGATTCAAAACGAATGAAATTTCTTTATTAGTATTAGTATGTCTTCATTGAATGATTAGATCAAACCAATTTTTGTTCATCATCATCATATTCATGTTGAAAGTGATGATCCATGTAATACAGATGAAAATTCATTAGCAGTAGAAAAAGTAATTAAACAAAAAAAACAAATTTTCTTTGTTTTTTAATGTTAGAACGAAAGAAACATTATAATAAATTTTGTATTGCTCATTTAGCAAATACAAAAGATGCAAATGATTTCATTCTTGTTTTTTTCTTTGCAAATTTTTTCTCTAAAAATTTTCTATTAATTATTTGTGTATACAAACAACATACTAAAAATCATGATTTGTTTACTAAAGTAAATGTATCTGCTCGTTATGTTCAAATCGACTGTAAGCTAAACAAATTAAATAATTTTTTTCTCTAACTGTACAATTGTATCTTTGTTTTCTTATTGAAAACAAGATAAGATGACGTCGAATTGTAAACGTTAACTTTTATCTATTCGTATAGTTTGAAATCGCTTTGGATGAAAACAAAGGAACACGATTTACAGCAGAGATATATGTCATTTTTTTTCTGTCGTAACAATATATAGATTCTTAGTTTTTAAAATTGTTGGATTTCTATTATGCATTGATATAAATTAGGATGTTTTCCTTTATAAGTATCCATTATGGTACAAAGTAGAAATCGAAGACCTTCGAACTTCTTAATTTCACTGTGAGAGAGAGAGAAAAAGGATAAAAAGTAACAGAATGATTATATAGGAAGTTTTTAAGGTTTAGTATGTTTTGAGTTGATATTCGCTTGTAAAGTATTTTTTGTACTTGTATTTCAATAGGTTTTGAATCTTTCAATTTTTGAATGACATTCGAATCAATATTTCTCGAAGCTTCCTTTTAGTTTTTAATCTACCATTCCAAATATTAGAGTTTTTCTCAGTAGAATACATAGTTTTCTAATAAACAAAGTTTTCTATTATACTTAAAATTGTTATTTGGTTCACATTTAAAACTAGGCGATTAGAAACTCAATTATGATGGGTAATGTTCTTCGTTTTTTAATGAAATACCTACAATGATGAAAAATTGATATTGAAGTTCAATCTATTTTAATCTTTGAAAGATCGGATGCTGATTTATATCACACAGAAAAACAAATATATTTACAAATCCATACTGACATCTACGCCCTCCATAAGATCTGTATTATTCTTACTGAAATAGAGAATAGCAAACTCTCAAGTTCGATTTTTACATCCGATTCGGAATATTTGGAAAGATTGGTCATTCTCGCATAGCTTACATCGCGTATAATTCAATTTTTTAAGAGTACTCTTTTTAATTATATAAAGAGTTTTTTGAAATCTAAGTTCAAGTGAGCACCAATGAAACAGATTTTCGTGTTCTTTCTTTTGTTTTCATTGATGCAAAACAAAATCTGTGGAATATTCTAAATTGTGAATTAAATTCGAAAACTAGTAATTGTATTAAAAAATTCTTCCCTTTTTCTCGCTCTCAACTTACAGAAAATCGAATGAAACTATCAGTGAAGTTTACTCGGTATAGTTAATTTTTCTTATTTGATTTTCATGAGTAACTTATCAGAAAGATTTCTTTGGCTAGAAACAGTATTTTAAACGTTCTAAATAGTACTGTATATATGATCTGAATACTTCTTATAAAGGATTTCGACACAATGGTTTGTCAATCAACCGCTTAAGAAATTCATCTTTTTACATTTATCACAGACAAGGTTAATGAATTTATCGGTATCTAATGGGATGTGGGCGTGGTGTTTGGGTTAAGTCTTCTATTTACTGTGAGCTACACCTACACTCACTCATAAGTACACCCGACATCCCCACTCATCTACATCCATTCCACACCCACATGAAAATACAACACCCTAGTTGACAATCCCTTAACGAATCCCCGGGGAGTCACCAGGGAATCTCCACATTTTACGGAGTGAAGAGAAAAAAACGTACTCCCTGGGAAGTCACTTTCTAGAAACTCCTTAAGGAGTATTTTTTTCGTTGATTTTGAGTCCATGACGACTCTTAGCGATATTATCACTGAGCTTTAACCCTCGAAAGACAAGTATGTTGTAACATAGATAGAAATGTAGATCAATAGGTGGATAAGTAGATAGATAGATAGGTATGTAGATAGGTAGGCATGTCGCTCAGTGATAATATCACTAATAAATGTCATGTACTGGCTTGTATATCCCTTTAGAAACTGTCCTTTATGAAGGACTACAGAGTCACTTATAGAGCCGTTCCCTGAACAATCCCTAGGAACTCATTGTAAACTCTCTTACAAATCCACAGGGACTCCTTGGGGATTCGTTAAGGGATTCTCGACTAGGGCATGCAAGGATGGCGCATTTTCTTTCGATACTTCTTTTAAAACATGTTGCTATGGTTGGAAAAATTGATTAATTGGTCAACTATCACCATATTAATCTTTTCAATACAATGTGATTGTTTACATTCAAGTAATAATGTTCTTAGAGGTTCATATGATCTTTTAATGCTTTGAAGTAAATCACACATACATAACCAACGAATTTGTAAGCATTGATAAATTATTGTACATATGAAATTGTTCTTTATCATCAAGTGCTTCATTCAATAGCTGTATCTATTTCTTTAAATTAGTCTACGATGACACAAGTGTTATAGTGAATTGAAATTTTACTTTAAAAGATTTCTACTTTTTAACATACTGAACAAGGATTTTATAATGTCGTATTGTTTCTAAAATTCTCTGATCATTCTTTTGAATACTAGATAAATTTAACATAGAATAATCAATCGTCTCAGTATCATCACTGTCACCTTTATTGCTT